TTCGGTACGTTGACAAACGAAGTGTCGATTTTAGCCATTTTTCTTTGAAGCAAGTGAAGCATATATCAAGTTGTGAGGCAAACTGGGGGCTTTTGAGTGCTCTCGGATTTGTTGGATAAGAAAGCAAAATACGTAATCTTCGGGTATGCGACAATCTATTGTTCATAATGAGGGGCATTTTCAACTCACAGTGTAAATAAGTTTGGGAAGATTACAAATTCATTCTAGGATATCGCTCAGTTCATCGTGATCTCGAGGCTCAGATCCTTCTTGTAACGACAAATGAACGGCTACGTGGCCAACTTAAAGACGTGAGTCGAAACTCATCTCAAGCTTATTTTGCTACAGTGCAAAATTTGCTTTTCAGGAACGGACAAGACTTTTTGAATTTGCTTCTGCTCTGGATGCAACGGCGCTCAAAAGGGTGGATCATTATATACCTACTGTTGTGCGGATATTATCTCGATTTATTAGGAATTTCTTCTAGTTTTTTTTCCAAGTTTTTTTGCTGCTTGGTTTGCAAGGACAAACCTGTTGTTATATTCATTGTATTATGGAAATACTTACGTTTATTGTTAGTAGCATCAAATATCCACTTAGTTTGCTTATTGCTAGTGCTCATGCTTTAAGGAATTGTTGTACCTAAAGTGTAAATAATGTATTTTGAAGGTTTTGCAGTCATCTAAGGTTTGCATGCACTCCTCTAACCATATAGAGATTAATCTCATGTTTGCTTTCTTCTAAACTCACCGACAGTGCTCGTTTGTTAGTCATGTTAATGTAGTCAAGTCACTAGTTTTCAAAATCTTCCCAGTAAGTTAGAGTAGAAATCTGCATTATATTTAGCGTTCAGCATTTCTGTCTTTGTATATCAGGAACTGATCGTTGTTTCTGTTGTGTCGAATTGTTGTCTTAACAAATAAAAATTATTGATAATGAATAGTGATGTCGGCTCCACAGGTTTTACTATACCTTGCAAGCATATCTGTTCCACCAGCAACGTTGGGTAATAATTGGTTAAGGATGTAAATAACTAGGTGTACTTCCTGTGGGCGGCATGGTATTGCGCCCGATAGGAATTTTAATTGGAAAGGTGCTATTAGACAATGCCGCCCGTAAGGCTGGACCTGCTCAGGTAAAATTTGCGAGCTATGTGTGTAAAATACCAGAAAATTGTCTAGGTGTCAAATTGTACAGGTAAGATATGCTTTGTTGTAGATTGTTCGGACGTCCGCTACATTCACGACCTATCAAAATGTACGACCTAAGAAACGAGTTATTCGCGAATCAGAAACAAACCCGTTTGAAAGGGAAGAGGTGGGTGGTTAGAAGTTTTCCCTTCTATCTTCTTTTTGTGCAGTTTATAGGTAAGAGGCTACTGAAGTGATCTCCTATGCACTGTTGTAGGGGGCGCGCAACAACTGGTCGAATAATAGTCCCTAATGTGAACACGTGCGGCCACGTTGTTGCATCGAAGGTCTCTAAACAGTAGGAAAACATCACGATTAAAACCCTAATAACGAAAGTTTATGGCAACTCTGCTCACCTTTTTTATTAAGGCGTGTGGACAGTTTTCTTGTCTTTTCTCAGTCTTGAGAAATGGTTGAGCTTGCGGTTTCCCCCTCAGCTGCACAATTTGAAGAACAATGAACATCACTTGCTGAACAGCGACTAGCTTGAGCACTGACGAAACACTTAGGATGGTTACGACATTTTGCTATGCCATGACAGAACCATCATGAGATATGGTTGTCGACATCGAGTGTAGGCAAAATTTTTTTGCTAATATCAATTTATTAAGGTTTTGAATCGAATTGGTGGGAATTGTGTACGTAGATTACACACGCAGTTAGAGCGGGACGCAAAACGTCTTCAAGAATCCCTAAATGACGAGAACTGGTTTGTTTAAATTTATGCTCTGAAATTATATCGCAGTTTGAATAGAACTGAAGAAGTGCGGTAATTTGTATATTGAGTTCAGGATCGCGGTGTATCGGTATCCACGAATACGATTTGCTGCGCTACTTGCCAGAGCCAAGCTCCTTCAGACAGTTGTCACAGTGTTGTACTTGCCTTATTCCTCATATCAATACCTTGTTGGACACGTCGATGCAACGTGGTTCTATTCAACGGCAGCACTCGCTTTTTTGGCCCCTGTCCTGCTTGCAGTGTTTAGCAGGTAAATATATCATAGACGCAGTTGTTTTTCGAAACAGCGGTTATTATTAGCGCGATGATGTTGTTGTTCAGTACACTAACTCTGTTTCATGTTCACTGGGTCTTTCTACACTATTGCGAAAGTCATATTTTTTCAGATATTTGAATAGACTTATTGGAGTAATAGCAATGAACGAAAGCAACGATTACGTCAGAATTGGATACTTGTCTTTCTGGGGTGCACGAAGAAATAAGTGAGTCGAACTATAGATTTTCGTTTTGTTACTTTAATGCTCTGAAAGCTGAAGGACTCAAATAAAAATGAAAAAAAGTTGTTGTTCCACTTTTGCTGGATCAAACACCTGTTCAGTCTTCAAGGAGGAATCCTGTGTGAAGGCTATGAGAAGTTTTGTCTGTTTCACGCATTTTTGTGAATACCATAGTTTTCCTCACGTTGTAGCGGTACTATGTTGGCTGAAATATTCCTCCCTGAAGTTCTTCCTGGAAACAGATGAGGGCGGGAAAGTTAGAGAGTGTGAAAATTAATTATCTATAGCACAACCCACTGAAGGTGTCAAATTTGTGATCAATCGCTTTTCATTCCGCTCCGAAATCCTATTTCAGATATTTGGAGCTTGACGACGTGCTCCCATTAACAGAGGTGGCCGGCAGCAAAAACGATGCGTTGGTCAAATTCTCCTGGTTTGGAGGGTGTGTTAGACAGACTTCTTGAGAAGGTTTTATATCAACGATACACTCATTAGAACTTTTCAGAAACAACTTTCTCTATCTACCTACAAAAGACGTTCAAATTGTGGACGAACAAAGAGCAAAATTGTTATTTGGAGATCTCAGCCTTTTCAAATAAGGGTAGCGTTCCGAAAGTAGAACGGCTGTGACACCGTAAAATCATCATATAACGAGTTAGCAGATATTGGGTAATGGCTAATATCAAATAAGGAAAGGATGGGAAAAGGTGAACGTCACTTCCCTTTGCCTTTCAAATAAATACTTGTCGGAAATTTGAGATTACACCCATCGGCAAAATACCGTTTTGCCGCTCGAGTTTTGCCGCTTGATTATCAAGAAGTGATGACCATTCATTCCTATAGGAGTGGACTGCTATAGGGTCCTCTCGTGATTGTTTTTGATTGTAGTTTGCCTTGCGAAAATGATCACAGGAATGCTCAAGTATAGGCAAAAAACTGCTTCAGGTGGGTCCGAACCCGCTTTTTGTAGATTTGAGTCCCGTTAAAGGCAAAACTATTCGGTTATTTGAAGTACTCATTGTCAGCATTCTAGTGATATCTAGTCTTTCGCATTTTCCTTTTTTTTTGTCAAATTTCAATCTTCTTTTTTACTTTCTAGATGAAGTCGAATGGCAAATCATTTTCATTTTATTTCCATTTTCACCATTCATTT